AAAACTCTCGATAAAAATCAGAGAATACTATCTTCAAAGATGTCAAAAGGATAGGACTTTTCAACGAAATCAGACGAAGATGTGTGAAAGGGGAAATGCTCGAACCTGGAACAATGTTGAGAAATCCAAATGAAGAGAAACTAGGGGAGGCCACAGATCCAGAGGAGAACCTCAGTGACTTTCCAGTCTATCCTATGATTTGACTCTAGTTTTGAGAAGAAATTATTAAAGTGTTTCATCCTGCCAATTTTGTTTAATTAGGGCTTATATTTGCGTGATATGACCACACAAATCGCCTGGAAGATATGAGCGTTTACGTCATATCGGACGACAATCTCAGAACCTAGAACGAGTTAAGACTTAAATCGTACAGCAAAGCTATAAGAATGCCTAAGGAAAAGTTGGAGGATTTATGTTGCGCTAGACAAACAACCTCGAAGTCTTATGAATTGTTGTTTAATTTCTAGGAAATGGATGATTTTGCTGGAGAAGACATGTTATGCTGTTGAAGATGACCGTGCTGCTCACCGTGCTCGCTCCAAGCTCACCGACTTGACGAGTTTAAGTTTTCTAGGGTGTCCAGTTATAGTGTCAAATTAAACAGCCTTATGGTTGTAGTCCTCTAAACATCCTATATAAAAGAAGGCATGCTTAAAGCTATAAGATATAAAATATGCAGTACAGGGCAAACAGTAGGATACATGTCGAACAGTAATAGGCAAAAAACATGAGCAGTATAACATGCTATACAGGAAGAACATTAGCAGGTGGAAAACAGGAGTAATATGACATGCTATACAGTACAGTAGCAGGTGAAAAACATGAGTAATAAAGTACTGAAAAAATATAAAGCAAACCTGTACACCGTGAGATCCGATGTTCTTTAAGTATAGCAAGCCTAAATGCATCTCAAAAAGCAAAGTCCCGAAGAAAACATCATCCAGGAAATCCGAGGAAAAGCGGAAAACTCGAGAAAATCAACGAAAAAAACTCAAGTAAAAGAAAATCCTCAAAACTTCTGGGGAAATCTCGAAAGAAAGGAAAAGTAACACGAGTGTCCTGTTCCAAAACTTCGATAAAACAAAAAGAAGATTCAGATGAGGGGGACCGCAAGCACTCGTATGGGACTAGCTCAGCTGTATATTTATTCTCGAGGGTCCACGAAGGCTACTCGGTCACCCGAATGTATAGAACCCGC